TATACAGGGTGTATCAAAATAAACGCAATTCATCTTATGTGCTTAATAACTTTCGAAATACTATTTCTAGTTAAACGCTTTTAGGATTACTTCAAAGCCTGTTCTTTTCTCTTTCAAACAAACTATTATCCTTGTCTCCAATGCTAGTAATAATTGCACAGGAAAAGATTTAGTAAAACCTATCATTTTTAGTTGCTGTTTAATTATGCAAGTTTACTATGTTATTGTTTAGTTGGTTTAAATGTTAGAATTTTCTTCTTTAAACTTTAATGTTGTCGTCACTACATCTGGAAAACCACGTAAGAACAAATTAAAAGTATTTTAAAAGAGATCAGGTTGTTTGAAAATCCTAAACGAATGCTAAAAATCGTCAAAACATTCTGGTGTCTGAGCCAGAGTGTCATCGAACTGCGATGTAATGTAAACAGAAATTATAGCAAGTTGATGTCAGTCAGCTTAGATGGTCCAAGCCAAATTATATCGCATTTGAAGTTTCAAACTGAGTTAAAAATAGTGGAAGAAAAGCTGTAATTATACTTATTGTTACAATCCATTTAATAAAATGCAACATTTTTTTGTTTTAATGAAAAAATCAGTTATTTTCATGAGAACGATTTGTTATTCCATCTCAATATTTTTAATCTCCAATCGCAATAACGCAAAGTATTATTACCCGCGAACCAATGAGTCAAATTTAAGAAACAACCCACTGTTAGAAAGCTGAATGGCTACGCTTTAAAATTAATGTAAACTTTAACGTTTTCGTCTATTATTTGTTTAGCAATTTACATTTCAGTCGAGGATTGCGCTTTTTTTGATACACCCCAGGGTGTATCAAAATAAACGCAATTCATCTTTTGTGCTTAATAACTTTCGAAATACTATTTCTAGTTAAACGCTTTTAGGTGTACTTCAAAGCCTGTTCTTTTCTCTTTCAAACAAACTATTATCCTTATCTCCAATGCTAGTAATAATTGCACAGGAAAAGATTTAGTAAAACCTATCATTTTTAGTTGCTGTTTAATTATGCAAGTTTACTATGTTATTGTTTAGTCGGTTTAAATGTTATAATTTTCTTCTTTAAACTTTAATATTGTCGTCACTACATCTGGAAAACCACGTAAGAACAAATTAAAAGTATTTTAAAAGAGACCAGGTTGTTTGAAAATCCTAAACGAATGCTAAAAATCGTCAAACATTCTGGTGTCTGAGCCAGAGTGTCATCGAATTGCGATGTAATGTAAACTGAAATTATAGCAAGTTGATGTCAGTCAGCTTAGATGGTCCAAGCCAAAATTATATCGCATTTGAAGTTTCAAACTGAGTTAAAATAGTGGAAGAAAAGCCGTAATTATACTTATTGTTACAATCCATTTAATAAAATGCAACATTTGTTTGTTTTAATGAAAAAATCAGTTATTTTCATGAGAATGATTTGTTATTCCATCTCAATTTTTTTAATCTCCAATCGCAATAACGTAAAGTATTATTACCTGCGAACCAATGAGTCAAATTTAAGAAACAACCCACTGTTAGAAAGCTGAATGGCTACGCTTTAAAATGAATGTAAACTTTAACGTTTTCGTCTATTATTTGTTTAGCAATTTATATTTCAGTCGAGGATTGTGCTTTTTTTGATACACCCTGTATATATATATATATATATATATATATATATATATATATATATATATATATATATATATATATATATATATATATATATACATATATAGGTTATCATATGAGGGGGCGAGGCGATATCAGTTTTATCGCTTGAGGGACGATATCATAAATGACACGAGTGGGCGGAGCGAACGAGGGACATTTATGATATAGTCCCTCAAGCGATAAAACTGATATCGCCTCGTCCCAATTACGGTAACCTGTTTATTATATGCTTGTGCTTTTATCAGGGTCAGCTGAATTTATTAGAGTATTCATCATTGCCCCAATTCAACAATTATTAAAAAATAGAATCATTTAAATACTAAACAATTTTTTGTCCACTCGATCATTTCCATCTACAAAACCCGTCAACTATTAGCTATAAATGTACTCACAAAGAAAATTCGGGCAGATTTATCAGAAAATAGGTTAAATTCAGGTAATTTCATTACACTCCTCCATAAAATTCGGGCAAAGTTTCAATTGCCCCCTCCCCGGAAAGCGTCGGCCCTCGCACGGCTATGCCAATCGTAGTTCGCTTTGATTGATACGTATATTATTACAACACCTATCTTGCTGCCAAAAACCTTTCATGCTAGTTCTTCAATCCCTTTTTTGCTATGTCATGATATTTAATTAAAGCGACAGAGCAATTCAAATTAAGTTTCTCGGAAGAGGGATTCAATATAGTTCAAAAACGTTCTCCATATGTCGTTCTTGGTATAAAATATATTATACTTATTCATATCAAATAAAATTATTATGCAGTCCGTCATCTTGGATATGCATATCCATTGTCGGATATGCATGACGTCACAGCCAGTGTAACAGTATATCGTAAGAAATTCTCAGGCCATTTTAATGACAAATGCCGATACATTTTATTTTTAAAATATCTACTCTGGTTGTGACGTCATATCAGACAAGACGGAGGATGGCAAGATGTTTTCATGGTTTCAAAGATCTCAAAAACTAAGATAGTTTGGGAAAATTTGGGAAAAGAATTTGTAAGTTATTTAAACATTCTTTCACATTAGGCAAACATAATTTTTGTTACCATTTTCCTTTAATGATTTAGAGCAGTGATGGTCATCGTTCAAAATGCCAAAAGCAGTTCAACACCTTATCGCATACCTGTGTTAAAAGCGGCTTTCTGATTGGTTTAGAGCAGGTGCGCTTGTCGTCGAGCTCAACTGCTTTTTGCCGAACTCACCTGCTTTTCGCCCGAACTCACCCGCTAAACTGCTTACGTTGCAATAACAATAACAAATATGGCGGACAAGATTTAGCCGATAAACCTAAACTTTAAAGAACTTTTTTCGGTGACTAACATACTGAGACTGAAGAAAAACCAAAGAAAAAATGCAGTAAAGGTAATGTAGACGTAGATAAAGAAGTATTTTCTTGCCCAGTGATTTTTTTGGCCGGGAAAATGTTCACAAAACATCGACGAATATATCGCGAAGAGCTACAAATGTGTGTATGGCTCGGTGTATGGGATAAAAACCAAACGTACTTGCAGGGAGGTGAGTCCGGGATTGGACGCACCTCGGGTGGCTGGAAGTTTCCCGAACTCGCTTCGCTCGGTAAGTTTGGGAAACTTGCAGCCACCCTCGGTGCGTCCAATCCCGGACTCGCCTCCCTGCAAGTACGTTGGTTATAAAGCGAAAAGCTCAACTGAACAAACGATCTCAAACCTTATCAGGAAAACATGAAGGATCCTTATGTCACTGCTTATTTGAAAGCTGATGTTTTACCTTTGACCATCGTGATCGGTGATGGCAACGAGTATAATTCTGAAAAGGAAAAATATATTAACCAACCTCTAAAACTGAATTCAATTTATATCGCGTTCCTGAGATTTTTTGAAAGTCAAGTAAATATATGTTTGTGAGAGATTGGGTTATTCTGCGAAAATAAATTAGCATAGCTATTAAAAATTTGTTGAAGGAAATTATACATGGAAATTTCGAATTTTAATATATTTATTAGACCTAACCAGGAGCAGTTGCGAAAATGCAACTATCGTCCATTGGTCAGGAATTGAACCTACGGCCACAGAATACTACACAGAAGTCCATCTCCATTGTTTTTAGCGTAAGCTCTATTCGTCATGATTCGTCACTCAGCAAGTACCGTAAACAGAAGCAATCGCCCCCCTGGACATACGCCATTTTTAGTATTTCCAGGAGGGGGACTGCTTCTGTTTACGGTACTTGCTGAGTGACGAATCATGACGAATAGAGCTTACGCTAAAAACAATGGAGATGGACTTCTGTGTAGTATTCTGTGCTACGGCCCTGCGATTCCAGAGCAGCGCTCTATGTATAAATCCCTACAAATCCCTACAACTGTATTAGTTATATCGAGTGAGATGCTCCAAACCTGATATTTAACTATTTTGTATATTTTTATCTAGGACTCGTACTACTCGACAGGATGGAGCAGCAATGTTAAAACATTGATAGAAGCTCCAGGTAGATTCATTAATTAATTCAATATTGTTTCCATTACAATATTACATTGCTTCTTGCTGACTACCAAGGATCTTGCTGACAGGATAGAGCAGCAATGTTAAAACATTGATAAAAGCTCCAGGTAGATTCAATATTTAATTAATTCAATATTGTTTGCATTACAATATTACATTGCTTCTTGCTGACTACCATGGACCTTGCTGACAGGATAGAGCAGCAATGTTAAAACGTTGATAAAAGCTCCAGGTAGAAGATTCTTCATTACTTAATTCGATATTGTTTCCATTACGTTGCATCTTGTTGACTACCAACATAAAACATTTAAGGATATGCATGCATTGCAGTCTCATTGCCAACTCAGTGGTCATCCAGAGAAAAGTTCCAAAATTTGTATTTTTATAGTGGAATGTGCTAACGGTCAAGAGATAGAAGTTAAAACTCGTATGGATCTCCTAATTCCACTGGTTATTTTGGCCCTGTGTTTGCTGTTCTCACTTGGTGTAATCATATACCAACGTCGTCTTATTCAAAATAGCATCAGACAGGCGTGCCATAAATGTGAGACATCAGGACAGTCTAACCGAAAAGGGGGATTAGGTATGTTTAATCCTTCACCTAAACTAAGTTTTATTTACTATTTAAAAAACTCATTACTGTCGATGCAATGGAAGTGTTGATAAAATATTGCACCAATTTCTTTCCTCAAGTTGATCAATTCATTTGATAGAAAATTGATCAACTTCCTGTTACTTTTAGATGAGCCAATTAGATGTCGTTTCAGAACCGATTGACCAACAGGAAACGCACAGGAAGTGAAAAGAAATTTGAATTCGTATGAATTGATCGACTTGAGGAAATGAATTCATGCAATATTTTATCAACACTTCCATTGCATCGACAGTAATAATTCATGAGAAAAAGACAAGGAAATCACCACCGTATCGGGGGTTTTATATCAATTATATGCGATAAAAAACATGCTAGTTTACATAAACTTTAGCTTTGAATTTCTCGACTTTGATAATGTTTATTTTTAAAATTACTTCGCCATTATTGCACTCATAAGATCGGTCGTTTCTTAAGCCATTTAAAACACTAGCAGTTCGTGCTTTATCAGATATAGAACTCTCGTGCTGTGCACTCAGTTTTTATGATCAGTTTGATAAAGCATTCCTGATCGTGTTTTAATTAAATACTACTTAATAGTCTGCGCGAAAACTCAAAACTAAGAATTTATGACCGTAAAGGAGTTCTCACACAACCAATCATTAATGTCTCTAACTAATGTATAATTAAGGACTTCGTTATGCGATTATTGCGTGAAGAAACTGCATTGGTCGGGAAAAAGCCTGAAGAGTGAAATATTTGCTCGAGTCATATATATATAACTATTTATTTAACAATGTCCCAATAAAAAGCCGTAGAGTTTTGTAGAAGACATAAATACGAAAGCACTTTGTCTGGAAAGGTTTGGAAAGACTTTTTGTTTTGGCCTCAGCTAATTGTATTTCCTAGGAAACTCTGTTTTTCGCCACCTACACGCCGGCACTCAATACTCAGATCATGCACCGCTTGAGATGTACGAATAAAGAACATATTTGAACTTTTAATCCTTACGGAGATGTAGGGAGACGTAGAAATAATATGAATGGTTTCTAATCTTTGTAAAAATTGTATTTCACGTTATTGTGGATTCCATTCCAGACTCTCCAAGCAGCAACAAAACGATGCGGGGCGTCCAAGCTGCTCCAAGACATTCGTACGTGAATGTATCCGCATATGAATCTCCTGACTATGCTGTAAAAAGTATTGAACGAAATGAAGCTGAATCGAAACCTGGGATTTCTACAGATCAAGATTCCTCAACCTACATGAGCTTGAAAGAACTTGAGAACTTTTATCAATCGCTACAACCCCCCGGCTGAAGACCTGATCCGCATCATACGAAGGGGGGTGATGATCACGCAGTGGAATATGAAAATGCTGCATTTAATTGGAATTTCAGTGGTCATTAAGACGGAAAAGTAGTTTGACCAACAGCTAATAATATAGTTATAGTTTATAACATACGGAGTAAATTTAGATCCAGAATACATTTCCAGCAGATAAATTTAAGAAATAAGTTATTTGTTTTGTTTAATAAATATAGATTAAGCTTGTTCGTTGAGACTATGTAGGACATTCAGATATATTTCAACAATCTAAATGCGGAACATGACATATCTGATACAACATAACATTTTGCACAGAACGTGCATGGGCATACTGAATAGTCTTTATTTCTTAATCATTACAATCTCGTGTTACCATAATAATATGAAATTATGACTGTATGCGTGTTTATGGCGGTTATAGCTATATATTGCTTAAGCTGTATAAATTGTGTACATCGATAGTTAAACACGACATGCATTCAGAGTTGCAAAAAAGTTGCGGGCATGCATGGTACCACCAGTGAGGAAGGTTTACCATATATGAGGTCAATTAGGAAGGTTTACCATATGTGAGGTCAATGACGAAGGTTTACCAAATGTGAGGTCAGTAAGGAAGGTTCAATGTGGAACACTCAGCAGGAAATAAGAATTAGAAGCCAATTTGAAATGACATAATTTATATATTTTACAATTTGGAAAATCCATGATTCGCACTATTTTGAGGAAGGTTTCAAAACTTGAATTTTTACCCGGACAAAGATTGAGCACTCTTTGCAAGTTGCAGAATTTACAACATCCTTTCCATTTACTCCAATATTGTCCTTGTATTTTTGCCTGATCAATATCAAGGAATCAATTGACTGCCACGAATCACGAGTTCTTTCGAGCCTATCAAAGATAACATGCAATAGACTTAGCCCTCGAAGTTTAATTTAAACTGGTAACTATATGGACAGTTCCATACACGGTCACTGATCTTTAATGCCATTATAGTACATCCTGCAAACTTGGTCCCTTGAGACCGCTCCAGCTAATATTGCAAAGTTTATCCACATTGACAAAACAAACTTCATCACCCCTTCCTTGCCCCCTCCCTGTTCAAAGTTGTAAACGCCGAAACAACTTTTGGTAATTTACCATGACACAAGCTCAAGATTGAGTTGGAGGAGCGGGGGTTAACAAGCGCAACATGATTCAACATTTATCTCAAGGAGTATGCGAATTTTGTACAAAGGGGAAAATAGTCTCAACGAGTTGTGTCCAAGATTATAGCTACAGAGAGGAATTGTACTTTTAAATTAAATATTAAATTATATAATTATCTCAACTTTCTGCTACAGTGCGGCGTTTCAGCCAAACGGTATTCGAGAATCAGAATCTATTTCGAGAACAAAAGTATTCAATTGTAAAGCCCAAATGTCAATTTTTCTTCATTATCCCCATCATATATGTATCAGACTCATAGAAATAATAGACAATGTCTATTATTTCTATGATCAGACTCCTCAGTCACTGATCTATATATGTACTCATAATCTATAATTTATAGGGAAGAGCCGGTATCATATTACATATGGGAGGCTGGGAGCAATAATTATTGAGTGACACTTTCGAATAAGTGCCTGCACTTATTCACAAGAATGCAGAGCTTAAAAAAGCACCGTCTGACAGAATTGTTCGAGAAACCAAAGTAAAAACAACAAAGTATATCTCAGTTTTTATGACGTATGTAGAGTCCTGTCAGCAGCATCCACCTGAACGTCACCGAAAGTAGCAACAAATTTGGCTTGTCCTAACAAAAAATAAATTTTGCATCTCTACTTCTATTTCAAATTTTCATGGAACTGTTTCAAGCGATCAGCTTGGTGATGAATCTGCTTTCTCGTTTTTCACTTTTGCCTCTTGCAGAAATCTTGAGACTTGCCACGCTTCTGAATCTCTTCTTCCACTGGCAAATATCGGTGACTCTTGGTTGCAAGCAACTTTATACAATTCGGTCGCGAATAGCTTTCTTGAAACAGCGCCAACACTATGCGTCAATGTGCTGGACAGATTCTTTCATTTGCATGACTGGGCCTACGATTTCACATCTTTTTTCGATTTTTTTTACCAATGAGAATTGCTCGACTACATCGCTACATCGGTACCGACCATTGAAATGAATATAACTGGAACGCTACTTTCAGATATGGCGTTCCGTTACGGACAATATTATGAAAGTTGTAGATATAATATCAAAGCCAATATTAAAATGCCAAAATTCGCAATATAATTATGAAACGTTCCAAATAATATCAAGCCGGTCGTCAAACGTTATACCAAAGTCATGCACAATTTATATCAAAACATCTGTAACAAATATATAAACGCACGCATTAAATATTAAAATCCGTAATCAAAATATCAAATTTCACGCACACAAAAATATCAAATTTCACGCCCACAAAATATATCAAATTTCACGCGCACAAAAAATATCAAATTTTTACGAACACAAAAAATATCAAATTTCACGCACACAAAAAATATCAAATTTTTACGCACACAAAAAGTATCAAATTCTTACGCACACAAGAAATATCAAATTTTGACGCACACAAAAAATATCAAATTCTTACCGCACACAAAAAATATCGAACGTGTAGATAAAAAGCGGACGCAGACGGCAGAGGGCGGACGACGGAGCATTTTATAAACACATTACTACCGCAACCAATTACAATATACCCTAAATTAAAGTATATCAGCCTTAGATCTGTAAAATGAATATGTTTTCACCCGCTCGAATGGCTTTAGCATTCAATTCGTATGTATGATAGGCTATTCGCCGTCTTTCTCGGAAAACGTTTGGAAATATTGTAAGAGGGGGGTGGAAAAAGCAAAAATAAAAATCGCGCGGGGGAAACAGATAGAAAAAATACGTGCACCAATAGGGAAAATTATAGGTTGAAATAGAAAATTCGTGCAAGGAATTATATAAATCAGTTTTAAAAAATATTCGTACAAATTAAAAAAGTCCCTTCCCCCATCACTTTTCTAATGATCCGCCCCTTTGTTTTGGAGCTTCTGTTAAGCAGGAGTATTAAATGACATTCACTTGCTGACATTCTCGTACTTTAAATATTGCTGAGTTGTTATTTTATAATAAAAATATTCCTTTTTTACTTATATACCTAAGAGGCCCACACGTACCTAACAATGGCCTATATTTTCTAGCGACGACTATTCTATATATGGATTTTAGAAATGTTATTTATTAATTTAAGGCCGACCATTTGATGCAGGGGTCGATTTTCATTGGGCACGATAATTGTTTTAATTAACCTCCTAATGCTGCTCGATCCTAATTTTCTGTCGTTCAAAGCTTTTGAACAATTGCTCGATATTTTTTCGGTAGCCTACGTCTGCTCTTGTCCGATATTTTTTCTAAGTTGAATATTTTGGGGGGATCCATATTACAGAAAGTGACATTAATTAAATTAAAGGACAATATGTTTAAGAATTATTTACTGGTGTAATATAAATAATTGGTATACTCAGTGGCGCCGTGCCCGGGGGGAGGGCAGGGAGGCATGGGCCCCCTATTGTCGCGACCCGCCGGAAAATTGGAAAATTATTATGTTTCCGGAATCTTCTTGATCAAGCATACCTGCAGATACGAGCAGGAATTTCAATTCTCTTCGTTGTTTGATAATACGAAACATGTTTGAATAAAAAATATATAGACGAAATATCGGAAATCGGACTCAGTTTACATACGAATTGAATGCTAAAGCCATTCGAGCGGGTGAAAACATATTCATTTTACAGATCTAAGGCTGATATACTTTAATTTAGGGTATTATAATTGGTTGCGGTAGTAATAAAATGCTCCGTCGTCCGCCCTCTACCGGTCCGCATCCGCTTTTTATCTACAAGTTTGATATTTTTTGTGTGCGTAAAAATTTGATATTTTTTGTGTGCGTAAAAATTTGATATTTTTTGTGTGCGTGAAATTTGATATTTTTTGTATGCGTGAAATTTGATATTTTTTTGTGTGCGTGAAATTTGATATTTTTTGTGTGCGTGAAACTTGATATTTTGATTAGGGATTTTAATTTTTTATGCGTGCGTTTATATATTTGTCACAGATGTTTTGATATAAATTGTGCATGACTTTGGTATAACGTTTGACGACTTGATATTATTTGAAACGTTTCATATTTATATTGCGAGTTTTGGCATTTTAATATTGGCTTTGATATTATATCTACAACTTTCATAATATTGTCCGTAACGGAACGCCATATTCAGATACATTACTGCCTACCTTTTTCTTGAAGCCAAATCTAGCTTACCTCCAGACACGCGTGTCTGCATGGTGGTAAGATCACGCGTGTTTATACTTTACATCATGATTGATTAAACGCTCTTTGCATGCGTGAAAAGACTGGGACTGGCCTTCAAGTTTCGCTTCAATTTCCGCTTGGATGTAGCATTCCAATAGACCTTTCTAATAATGACGTTCCGAGGGACAATGCAAATGATGTTTTTTATGATATTTATTGGCTCGCCAACGTAGGGGCGCACATTAGGGTGTGTGTGTGGGGGGGGGGGGTGACACCCCCATGTTTTGTGAAATATATCTAAAAAGTCGGTCCCAAACCTGAATGGAACGAAAAAGTCGGTCCGGCTAAAATCTGAAAGATATTATCATTTTGTGTCGAAAAAAGTAATAGGTGGAGATTCTGGATATGGAAGTTGCATAAACATAAGAAAAACGAATTAGATAAAGAAAAACGAATTAGACATACACAAATTAGAGTTCACTGACACAAACCAAGAGAGCAAATAATCAACTTCCGTGTTGCAACAGTTCAACCAACGTAATGCGATCCGATTACCTCAAGCCCCCGCGGTGCAGTTAAAATGTGCATTGTTAGTCTTGTCGTAAAAGCTAAAACTTTGGAAGGCAGAAGTAAGTCAGCGGCGTAGCCAAGATGGGGGCTCGG